GTTTTTTTAGATATTCATAGCTGAAGTAGAATGAAAGTAAGGTAGGAATGAGATCTAAGTGGAACAACACAAAGCCTGGGATTTGCCTCCAGGCTTAATGCCCTGGAGAACAGTGGATGAGCATGGGGTGAGACCAGCCTGCACTGACATGAGCAGAGGCGGGCATTTCAGAAGCACAAATGTGTTTAGGGTGGTAGAAAGTGTCTGTGGATGCCTTTGGTTTTATCAAATAAAGATTTGGGAATAGAACACACTTATAAAAAGAGAAAAAGAAAGAAGGTTCTCCAAATTCAAAGAAACATTATGCTCTTACTAAAAAAAAGCCCCCAGATTATTTTGATTGCAGTCACTTTAGCAGGTCTTCTAAACCAGAAAGCAAAGGAACAAAAGGGATAAACTTTACTGTAGGTACATGCCACCATTCCCAATGGGAAGGAGCCCGGGATGAAGTCTTCAGGGTCCTTTCTGCAAGATCTTCATGGCAGCAGTTCAGATGTCACTCTCCCCCCTCCTTCCAACCCATCACTGGATGGTGACCTCTTGCAGCCCAGCATGGAGCTGAGTTTCCAAACTGGAGAATATTATACGAGTGTGTGTGGGATCATCCACTCTCTCCCACTGGATCCTTTCCAGAATTGGATAATCTCTGAGAAGGAGGACAGCAAGGTCAGCTGAACAGCTTGGTGTATGGTGTGCAGGTAGGATGGGGAATATTGCTTTCATTCCAATTAATGTTTAATTCTTTATACAGTGAAACAACTTCACCTGGAGAAATTGAGTAGCCTGAAGCTGTGGACAAAGCACTCAGCTGGGAAGTTTGTTCAAACCCTTCTCATAGAGCAAGGGTTACTTGTCTCTTGGCAGGGAGGGGAACACACTCAGCATTATTTCTGCCTTTGCAATCTTGTGAATGACATCTCAGTCCTTTTGAGAGTCCAGTTCAGAAATCAGTGTAGCTGCTATAAAAAATTCTGCAATGAGCTGTTGCAGCATTTCCAACTCTGATGTACGCGCATGCGCATCTGATGATATTCACTAAATTTGATCCAAATATGTTGGTATTTGAAGTCATAATTTTCAGCAAATAAATGACTTGCCAGAAGAACTTTATCCAGCTTTAAGGAAAATATTGCATAAGAAAAGGCGAAGGTACACTGCTAACTTGGTTCTCAATGGCTCTGGATTAGGCAGGCTTTGTCTGCTGATCATTCCTGTGCTGCACTTGTCTCTATTAGCTTAGCTTCCAGTCGGCTCTTAGACTTTAAAATGTTCATCAAAGGTCTGTTTCAGTGGTCCACAGCCTCAGTTCTTCAGAAGTTCAGATTGGCCATTTCAGCCACCACTCCTGAAAACTGCCTGCATCTGGGTAGCACCCTTAAATTCCCATCTGATGGCAGGCCAAACACAAGCACCCCATGATAAAATATTTTCCTTTCTCTTTTGAGGACATTTTCCTGCTTTCCTGTGCAGGATCCTGGAGCTCAAATAAAGGAGAATGCTCCCTGGGGAGTTACCATAGTAACCTGTGATATTTTTTTTTTGTTGTCTAAGATTAAATATAAGCAAGGGAGAAACTACAGAGAAGAATTTTATACCTGAGTTTATCATCTTTGTATAACACCAAAGCTGAACTGTACCTCCAACTTCCTAAAGCAAAAGCAGTCACCTTGAGACTGATGTCAAGTTGATAATTTTCACTGGATAAGAAATTAACTGCTGTATTTTTTATTCAAGAACCCTGATTAGAAAAAAAAATTTCCACATCTGAAAGATGTAGCAAATAAGGAGACCGAGATCATTAGAAATGTGAAGATATGGAAATGGGAATAGCTGCTACAAGTAATATCTAAACTTGCAATGCATGAATGCCCTGCATATTCTATTTTCTTCTTAATAGGATTCAGTGATAGTCTGCTCTTAAACTTACAGTCAAGAAACTCCAAACCCATGTTGTTCTTGGAAAATAAGTTCATGTCTCATAGTGCATACAAGGAAGTGATTTTTGAATGTACCAGTATCAGTTGAGCAGCAAATATAATTTGAAGATTGGGAATAAAAACAGAATTTGTTTCAAGAGGTTGTGATGGAGAAAGAAGCCACCCAAACTGCTCTCAGTTATGAGTGTCAAAGGCAGATCAGGAAGTCTGGGATCAGGAAAGGGCGTGAGAGCTGAGCTACCAGAAAGGTCAATTCCATCAGAAATAACCCAAAAGCGCAATGCTGGGAAAAATCCAAGACAATCCTGGGAGGCCATTGGGGAAGGACTGCAGAAGTGGATTGTGCAAGGAGGGTGCACAGGAGCTCCTAGCCCCTGGTTCTGGGGCGAGGTCCCTGCCAGCACTCCCATCAGAGTCGGTCCCCTCTGTCCCCCCGCTGCGCACCCCGACCCACCCTGGGCACCCCGGCAGCAGCAGGACCTTGGATGGGGCTGCTTGGCTGTGGCATGGGGAGAGGGAAGACCACCAGCCCTGGTGAGCAGGTGAGCATGTGCCGGGTGTTTAATTTAGCACTGCCAAATTACCGAGTCTGGCTTGGTTTCATGTGGCTACCCCCGCAACCGGCTGCCCTGACCGCCCATCTCTGCTGCCCAGCATTTGCTGGGATTATTTAGTTCAGAGATGAGGGAAAATTATATGGGAGGTGGGAGAACTTGAAGCATTTCTCTGAAGCCTGGGTCGATGTCTCCCCTGCAGGGCAAAAGAGCTGACAGAGCTGCTGTCAAGTTTAATTGTCCCCAAGATAATGTCCTTCAGTGCTGTATATATTATACATTTATGTTTATGCTGAAAACATGCAGTCTAAACACTTTAAATGTAAGTGACTTTAACAGCTCTAGCAGCTTGCCCATGATATGCAGCGGCAGGTGGGTCGGAGCTTATGATGCTGGATGTTTTCTGCTTCTGTTCTGGATACTTAGGGGTCCATTCGCCCTGTGGCTGATTTACCTCCCCATCTTGGGGCTGTTGGTGGAAACAAGAAGCCTGGGAACCCCAGGATGGGTTGGAAAGGCTGCAGGGTAGAGAGTGCAAAGCAGAGAGCAATATTCAGCTCTGAACACGGCATGAGTGGAAACAAAAACCTCCAAAACTAGAAGTTTTGGTGAAAATTCCTTTTAGCAGAGGAACAGTATATGAAAATACAAGTCTGATGTGAGATAAAGCACCTGGTGATGTGGAAGACAACCCTGAAAGTCAGATGAGACACTATTGCAATAATATCAAATGTTACTTCAAGCAGACCTATATTGCAATTGCCCTCTCCTGCATTAAGGGATTTTGGATTTTAAATGCAACCAATAATTCTCTGAGATTTTGGACAAGCTTGGGAAGGGGGTGAAGGAAGCATCTATGGATGTTGGCTCTCAGAAGTAAGCTGGAGGAGCCTGGAGGTGCAGTGCTGCATGGTGGGGATGGCAGGGAAAGGGGAGAGCAGTCGGTTTTGGAAAGGAGAGGACAAAAACAGGGCAGGGGTGTGCAAAATGAGGACAAAGCTAGAGGGTATGAGGAGCTTGTGCATGGTGGTCACCCCAAGGCTAATGCTTGGGGCAGAGACACAGGGGGCAAAATTCGAGAAGATAAAACTCTCCTCACTGACAGAAAGGCAGAACTGGGTTTCCCAAGGGACAGGAGGGCAGCTGGGGACCTCAGCAGGGGAGAGGGGTAAACCTGGGTGAAATTTGACAACCAAGTTTTGTTTTGTTTTGTTTTGTTTTTGGTTTTTTTTTTTTTTTTTACTAGAAAAAGGCACATTTGTGCTCTTAGAAACACTGCACAGAAACCCTACGAATTCCAATGATTTTGGTAAAAACTGCAGAAAATAAGATTTTCATTGGCACAAAATACTTTTTTTGTGTGTTGTTGTTATTCATGTAAAAAGACTTAAATCCTTAATTTGCCCAGGTTTACTTAAGACAAGAAAGTGATTTAAGCCGCAGCATTTCAGGTAGAGGGAGGGAGGGAAGAGTGTTGAGCAGATAAGTCTGAGGTTTCTGTGACTGAAAGAGAAGCGTTGGAGGTACAGCCCCGCAGTATGGACTTTAAAGAGATGGATTTTCTGATGATGTGAAAAACAGGCAGATGGACTGTAGGAAAGAGACAAGCAATCACTATTGCAAGGCTAGAAAGCAAGAAAAATAATGGAGCTATCAAAGGATATAAAGAAAAGAGTGATGGGAGAAATGAGAACGAAAGATGGTGAATTATTTGCGGGTTGGGACAGTTTTTGGACCATGGTGATGGGAATTTGTCAGAAAAACATGCAAAAAGCAACAGAACTCTCCTGGTCTCAATGTCCCAGGGCTGTGGTTTGGAATTTTCATTATTTGCACATACTGTATCACTCGGTGCCCTCCCTGTTGACAGTTCTATGGAGTTTAAGATCAAAAAACACAGCTGCCACTGCATTTTTGTGGCATCCTGTTAGCACAGGTTACTGAGCATCGACACGAAAAAGCTGCTTTTGAGGCCAGTTTTTCACTGTGATCCTTTAAAAATGTTTTATTTTGAAAAGTTGATTACAGCCTCACAATTTTTAATTCATTTGTCAGTCACTTGGGAACAGGCTAGTCTGAGGTGCAAGATATTCTTACATTTTACTTGTTTACATGTCTGTAAAAATGAGGTAGAGATATAAAAGGAGAGTCCAGGTTTTTATACCAAACCTGTGGTGTTGCTATAGAGCTGCTTTATCTACCACTGAGAATTTTCTGTGCTTCCATAAACTGTTTCTGGTGTATTCCTTACCTTCCAGGGTCAAAGAGGCAACACGGTCAACTGTGTGAACTGACTTATTTGCTTGTTCCTGTCCTCCAATGTACTTTAATTCTGACCTTGAATTTTGGCAGTAACTCTATGCATTTGTGTTCCCTGTTCTTTCAGTCCTGATCGAGCTTCTCCAGCCCTGCTGTGTCACCTACTCCTTGCCAGTGGGCAGTGGCCTCCTGCAGAAGTCCTGGGAGAAGTCTTTCCACACAGTCCTTCTCGATTTACTAAAGAAAACCCATGTCTGATTTTGATCTGATGAATGAGAGTGTGCAGTGTACAGAGCCTGAGATAGACTATATCACTTCACGGATGAAACTGAGGGATGAGATGTTTGTCTTTATTGATGGTAAGTGGGTAAATGAGATCTACTGCCAGTCACCCTTTGCTTCCCACCAAAAACTCTCTAGCACAGAATGAGTGGAGCATCTGGGAGGAGAACAGAGTGCTCTGGGAGAAAAATCAAGTCCTCCGGATTGAAAACAGGATGCTCTGGGAAGAAAACAAGGGTCTACAACATCTCCAGCCACAGAACAAAGCTGTCCAGGTTATTTACACTGATGTAGTTCAGCGAAGCCTCCAGAAGGAAAAGAAGCTGTTCTCATTCTTCCAAGAGAGGAACATCGGCTTTCAGGTCAGCCCAGGCAGCAAAGCTCTCCAGGCAGTCCAGGAAAAGAATAGAGTCTTAGGGGATTTCCAGCAGGAGAATAAAACTGTGCCCATCATCTGGAAAGACTAAAAAGCCATCACAGTCCATGAAGAGAGCAAAGACGCCAGGTCAGATATTCAGAAGGATGCTGATGCCATCACAGCTGTAGAAGAAGGTAATTCTGGCCCAGCTCCCCAGCAGGAACATGAAGCTAAAAAGAAGAGCACTACTACAACCCATAGTAAGGTCGAGTCTGCCCCAAGCTTGCAGGGGGAGTATGAAATCCTCAGGCCTCTCCAGGACTTATATGAACTCCTCCACATCTTCCTGAACGTGAACCATCTCCTTGGGGAGAAACAGGGCTGTCACATTCTCTAAAATGTGAACAGACCTTTCCAAGAAGATTACAATAAATTGAAGCTGCAGCTGAATGCTGTGAAAAACACCATGTCAGACATTACAGCTCAAATGGAAAAGTTGGAGAAGAAGTTCATCACCATCACTTCCCCAGTGTATGAAGAAGCAGGGCAGAAACTGGCAACTGAGCATCAGCTTGGAGAGATGTGAAGCTTGGTGCTAAGACCTGTTAGTTCAATTTCCTGGAAAGCTTCTCTCCTTGTTTCAGGGAACCTAATAAAATCCCAGTAGAGCCTGAAGACATCTGGGGAACATTGTGTTAATCTGAAACTCTCTTAGTATTTCACCTTCTGATTGTACGGTGTAGGTGACTGTCATGAATTTGCCTAGAGTCAGGAAAACATATTTTTCAGCATTTTTTTTTCAAAGTTTCTGATAATAAGGCCTAGATTTTCAAAAGATAATTCATGATTTTCACACTTAATTTCAGGTACCTTATGCTGGCCATATTTTCCAGAGGGATGGTCACTTCCTGAAAATGAGGATCCTAACTGGTAGCTGACATTGGATCCCCAGTGGTCTCTTTTTTTCTTATGGCTGGCCAAGTTCAATGGATGAACTGTGTCTTCTGCCACACACCAACCTTCCCTCTTTCATATAGGGTAACCAATGGATCATGGAAAATGTAGCCTCCCAGATGAGACAGGCCCATGAAAGACAATAGGACACAGAAAACCCCCACTATATGTGCATATATATACATTCTTGCTGTCTCCTTTTCCCAGTCCCATATTCCCACTTAAATTGTTGTCTCTTTCCTTTGTTTAAAGCTCTTCCTCAGAAGAGAATCCATCTCTTGCCTCAGAGTATAACAGAACCATAAAGCAAACATCGCCCACCAGAACAGCGTGTCCTCTTCCGCCTTGGTTATTTGTAAATTAACTTCTTAATTTTGTACCTTAATTAGGCTTAATTCTTCTCAAATTGCCTTGTTTTGGTACACTTGAATAATCCTACTGATTTCAAGTGAGATTATTATTTGCTGATAAATGGCACTTTTAGGATGCAGTGTGTATAGGAAGACTGCTAGTGTCTTATTTGCAGCTCACTGCTAAAAGAAAATTCCTGTAGACTTTGGTGGTCTTTTTGGACCAGCTCTTCTTTGTGGCCAGAAATTAACCACGTCTTTATCTGCAAACTATCACATGTAGTTGTGGAGCTAACTGCTTTCTAGCCTGGATGAGCATTGATATTTCTAGTGGTATCAAGGGCAAGGGAAAGGGCAGTGCCCTGCCCCTGTGCAGCAGAATCCCCTGGGCAGCTTTGTGAGTCTGAGCCGTCTTTCTGAAATCTTCCATTAGACTTGGAGGCTTGAAAGCAGGACCACACGTACCGCAATAACTTACTGTCACATGGTGAGGACTAGGCTGGTGTAAGCATGCTGTGAGGCTGAGCCCCGACACCCTCACCAGCCCTGCTCCACCACCCAGTGGGTCCCCATCAGCCAGACCACTGCAGGCAGGTGGGGAAGGGCTGACCTCCTCTGTACCTTGGTCCTGCTGCTGCTTCTGTTAGGATTTTTACACTTTGTAAAAGGCGCTTTGCAGCGCCTTTTTGTTTGGATGCGCGATGATTTCCCTCCTTTGTTTTAAACTGCTGATAACTGATATCATCTCAGCAGTCCCCTCACCATGTGCTTTCTTCAGGTTTGCTTTTGCATCTTGCACAGCTTAACAGTCGTCATGCTGCCTTGCATACAGACCAGCTGATGGGACACCTGCCGTTCATCATTAAGCTGCTCTCAGCAGAACTGTTCCATTGACTGGCAACTCAAAAATTTGGGCCCTGCCTCAGGGATACGGCCCCAGAGAAAATGAAGGGAGGTCAGGGGTATGTCCTCACCTGTGATAGGTGGGGAAAAGAAAGAGGTGTCACACTCATGTGGGTGCTCAGGCTATGAGGGACACTACTTCTGGGGAGAACTGCCTGTTTCTGCACCATTGCTAAGCTGTTGCATGCAATCATAGCCTGGGAGGGTGGACAAGAAGACTACAGTGAGAAATGTGGTTCCCAGCTCATAGTCCAAGGGCATACTCACAGCCCCCTGCTACAAAATGCTGGTGAATAAAGGAGGATCCCTCCTCACAGACATCATGGTGGGGCCACAAGAGTGAATGGAGCAGGCAGCAGGGCCACATCTCCTACGCAGAGCAGTGAGGTCCCTCTTAATTTTTTAAATGGTCAGATAAGGCAGGTTTTCAGCTGCTCCATAGCAAGCAAGTAAGTTGCCAAAAGCAGAATTTTGGTGGCTGTTCCACAACTTAAGCTGGTACTTGGATGTGTAGCTGCTCACGCTATGAATGAACACTCCATTCTCAAGTGATCTGCTGACACAGGAGATGGAGAGCCTGTTGACATGCTCATGTTTAAAAATTGAGTCTAACCTCAGTTGTGTGGCCAGAGCATCTGGAAATGCATTTTCCTCTGTCTTGGACACCCCTGACACAGTGCAATTTGTCACAAGCTTTCAGCCAGAATATGGGAGTCTTTAGGCAATCTAACAAGAGCAAGGAGACTTCTGCAGAACAATTGTAGGAGCATTATTGTAAAGCAAAGCAAAGGTTATGGTGAGGTTTGCCTCTTGCAACAGGACCCAAGAAGCAGGTTGTCACTCTAGTTTGTAGGTCTCTAAGTGATTTGGCACCAAATTACCTAAAGGGTGAATTATCTTTCACCTTGTATTTCACTCAGAGGACACCAGACCAAATATCAGCAATGACTGTTTACTTAAGAGTGTTAAAGTAAGGGGTATTTTCTTCTGCTGTTAGGGCTTCAAGATGCTGACGCAAATCTCTCATGGCTGAAGGTAAAGGGCTGGCTCTCAGTGTATGTGTAAGGATGAGGCAAGAAGAAGAGGAGCAATGTCCATTAATAGGAGGATGTGCAAGCAGCAAGTCGCTCCTGCTTAGTGAGAGGATTACAACTACGTATCAATAAATACATCAGCTCCATGCTGGGGAACATGTTCATGCTTCTGTGCCTTCAGACATACTCCTCTTCTAGCTGTCTCCCTCAATGTGTTTTGATGTAGTACTTGTTAAGAGGCAGGCGGGGATCTATGAAGATCCTAATGCTGAACTGCGGAGTGGAGTAGCGGTAGTGACAAGCTTTGGTCATGTGTTTGTGTTTTAACAAAAGTGATTTGTGTCCTGTTAGAAGAAATAAATGGCTCCTCTGCCAGTGTTCAGGGCACTGACTCCTGCCATGTCCCTGTACATGGGCAGGAAAGACACATGGATGTGCAGCTTTCCACCAGGTGCTTAGGAAGAGTCATCTCACCTAAAGTCCAGTGTTCATCCAGGACAGGACATCCAGATCTCAGCTAGTAACCCTGGGTTTCCTTTCTAGCCTGTAGAAGAAATGAGCACCTCCAGGCTGTGATTTATCTGACCTCTCTTAGACAAACATTTGAGAGTGGGCTGAATCACCAGCTGGAGTTACCTGCTTCTCTCTGTTGCCTCTATAATTGCTTTGGGATCAATTAGCTCCAACTTAGACGTTCGGTTTGGAGCTCTCTGAGTTAGAGGGGACATATCCTGCTCTCTGAGTAAGGAGCTTGACAGTCCTGAGCAGAGGAGGCCCTTCACCGGGCTGTGAAGTGGTACCAGCGTGTGCTGTTGGTCCCAGTGCCTGGCTTTGCTTTCTGTGAGATGCCTTCATTAAGCAGCTGACTCGGATCTCTCCATTGTGTGGGGAAATTATTACTTTGTGAATAAAATTGAGTTAGTTTGGGCAGAGCTTAACTGTCAGGAACACATGTAGGATCCTCAGGAGAACAAGCTACTTCTCCCGAATGCTAAGGATATTCCTGGAGGGAATTAGGTTTTGTGAGCCCTTTGAGCTTTGGTTGCTGCTTTGGATCTTTGATCTTCCTGGTTATAAAAAGTCTATACCTGGTATGTGTTTTTTGGCACCTCTCATAGAGTAGTTGAGTTGACTCACGTCTTAAAGGTTTCTCAAGTGTGTCATGTGGTGAGATAACAACGCCCATAATGACTGCCCAGTGCTTAATCTTGCAGAGGACTATGTGATAAGCAAACTCTCATAATCCCAGAAGGTACCAAATCTCCAGTCTGTGCTTATTTGGTTACAAACAGGACAGAGTTGGTGACAACCAAGTGGAGGATCACTTCTGGGTGATGGTAGAAAGGCAGATCATAGAATCATAGAATTGTTTAGATTAGAAAAGACCTTTAAGATCATCAAGTCCAACTGTTAACCTAGCACTGCCAAGTCCACCACTAAACCATGTCCCTAAGTGCCACATTTACATGTCTTTCAAATACCTCCAGGGATGGTGAATCCACAACTTCCCTGGGCAGCCTGTTCCAATGCTTGACAACCCTCTCGGTGAAGAAATTCTTCCTAATATCCAATCTAAACCTCCCCTGGTGCAACTTGAGGCCTTTTCATCTTGTCTTGTAAGTGGTTACTTGTGAGAAGAGGCCATCCCCCACCTGGCTACAACCTCCTTTCAGGTCATTGTAGAGAGCGATCAGGTCTCCCCTCAGTCTCCTCTTCTCCAGACTAAACACCCCCAGCTCCCTCAACCGCTCCCCATCAGACTTGTGCTCCAGACCCTTCACCACCTTCGTTGCCCTTCTCTGGACTCGCTCCAGCCCCTCAAGGTCTTTCTTGTAGTGAGGGGCCCAAAACTGAACACAGCACTCGAGGTGTTCCTAGGCACTGCCCATTCTCTGCTCTGCCCTTGCATTAACCGCTTCAGTGGAGGCCATCACAGTATGCTACAGGTCTCCATCCAGAGTGGGTGCTGGTGGGAAGGGCTAGGCTCACAGCTCCTGCACTCTATTTAAAGTATGAATGGAGGAAAAATGCAGCAGCAGGTATTTACAGGAACAACTTGTTAATGATCATAACATTTAGGCAGCTTTGGGAAAAAATGGAGTAAGCTTAATTTTTTTTCCTAGTCTGTTCACTGATTTACAAGTCCCTGGAAACTGATAGCTATTCTAGTTTGAAATGGATGGGTGTCATTCTTATGGTGCATAATCTACCTTTTGCAGAGAGACAAACTTTCTGTCTCTCTCCTTCTTATTGTTGCTGATTAGCTCCTTATTTTTGCACTAGTCATTTGTCAGTACTATTTTTGGAAAGCTATTTTTTTGGCAAGGTCACCATCAGCCTCTTGC